GCCGTGCCTAGGCTCTGGAGACTGGCCCTGGGGGACGGGGCAGAGTCTCCTCACCCAGAGCCCCTAGGGACTGCAGGTGGCCCAGCCCCCTCCTCTCTGGCCCTTCCTCTCCAGGCACCCCTGCTCCCATCCCCAAGCCCCTGGCATGGGCTGCTTTGTCCTAGTGGTCGCTTCTTGGCCTGTGGTGTCACCCAGGGAAGGGCAGACTCAGGACAGCATGGGCATGGAGCTCAGGGGCCCTTGTGCTGCCAGGCCCGGGGTGTGTGCGTGTGCGTGTGCGTGTGTGTGTGCACACCACGCCTAGAAAGCCCCTTTGCGTCATGCCTGCACACCACCCAGCCTGGGAAACAGCCGTTAGGACACTCGGTGCCCCAGAGGCCACCCTCCCCGGGCCCCAGAGCCACTGGCACATGGCGGTGCGTCTCCATGTGAGCTGGGCTGGTGAGGGGCCCGGATGTGGCTCATGGTGCCCTCCCTCCAGCATCAGGGCCCTGTGCCCCGTGGCCCGCCTCCCTCTGCTGCATGGCACAGGGGCACCTTCACACGGAACCCAGGGGGCGGTGCTCCGCTGTGGGCGGTGAGTGGCGCCTGGGTGGAAGGGCTGGGGAGGGGCTGGCAGTACCTGCAGGGCCCACGTGGCCAGGCCGAGCGCTGTGGCGTTACGTGGCCGGAGGGAGAGGCGTGGCCATGGTACGAGCTGTGCTCAGAGCAAGTGTGCAGTTGGAGCCAGTGGCCGGGCGCTGCTGCCCCTCGGCCGGTGCGGGCTCAGGCCACACGGAGGTGCCCCTCAGGTGGCTCCGTCTCTTCACGCGATGACACAGGCCGAGGCGGTCCTCACCTGTGCCCTCCTGTACAGCCTGGCCTGGAGGGCGAGGGCTGGTGGGAGCCTGGCACCGACGCAGTGGACGGGCTCCGTGCTGACCACGCGCCCTGGTCCCGCCCCCCGCCCCCGCCCTGCCCGCTCAGTGCCGGGAGCTGCAGCGGGCCCCGGAGGCTGCACAGTGCGAGGATGAATAATGCATTTATGACACGGCGGCGTGGTCGCCAAAGTGATCTATAAATGGCGGTAAATGTTTTATAATGTTGTTGTAACCCGTTATAAATGATGAATGGCGGCGGTGGGTGCCGGATCAAATATTTATGACGCGTGGTGTGCGACGCGGCCGCCTCCGTCAGGAAAGCCATTAATAATGGATCGGACGGAGAGGTAAAAGTTGCCGACGTGCCGGCAAAGCCGTTTATAATGGAATGTAAGCGTCGGCGTTGGGAGCAGCACGCGAGCCCCCGCGCAGCCGGCCGGCTCCGGAGCCAAGAGGAAAGTCGTGGATTGTGAGACGGTACCACCCTGTGCATGTGCTCATGCACCCAGGCGGCCGCAGGCACATGTCTCGTGGTGCCTAGTTAATTAACGGGGTGTCGCAGCTCCCGCTCCCTCCTGCCCGGCCGTGGCCATGGCGTTGGGCTCTGGGCAGGGCCGTGGGAACTAGAGGAGGGCTGTCCTTGGCCGTTCTGCGTGTGCCTCCCACCAGCACAGTCACTGCTAGGGGGCCACAGGGCAGCATGGTGCCATCTGCCCTGCACCCCAGGGACTGGGCAGGGGGTGGGAGGGCCCTGTCATGGAGCCGCACTGTGTCCCCTGGTGCTGTCCCAGGTGCGCTCGGCGCTGGTTTCTGCACGTGTAAGAGTCAGGGAAGGATGCAAGCTCGCTGCTGTAACAAACAGGCCCAGGCTCAACTGAGCCCAGCCCACACTTGTGTCTCGCCCAGAGGCCAGCACAGCTGTTCCTGGGCCGCTGCCCTCCGTCGGACCCTGCGGTCCAGGCTTCTGCGTCTGTGGCCCATCAGTGTGGACCCTGCGAGTGAGACCCTGGCTTCCCCCACTGGCAAGGGACTCAGCCCTACGCCCTGTCTACCTGCAAGGGAGGCTGGGAAATTGGGTCCAGGCAGAAAGAGCCAGTGGGGAGTGCCCGAGGCAGGGGCCTGAGGGCGTCAGGCTGCAGGGAGGCTGGAGGACCTGTGATGACCGTGCTCTGTGTGAGGTGCGCCCACTCTTGTTCCCGACGCTAAGGATGTTGAGCTGACCACAGACTGCAGCTGCCGGCAGAGCACAGGGCACCTGTACAAAGCCAGGCTGACAGCAGAGGAGGGTGAGGGTGGCCGTGGGGGAGGGGCAGGGGCAGTTTCCTGTGGGGCCAGCAGGAGAGGAGAGGAGAGGCCAGGAGCCCTGGCAGGGACCTGTGAGCCGCTGTAGATGGGCTGGGGTCTCAGGGCCAGGAGCTCAGTGCAGGGACCAAGGGCCGGGCTCCGGAGGGAGGGCAGGGCGGGCGTGGGGAGGGTGTGGCCAGGGAGCGGCTGGGGCACGAGGCTGGACGGCGTGATAAGGGCCTGGACTTTATCCAGAGGCGGTGAGGCCGCAGGGCAGGGCTTGTCCCTCAGCTGCTGGGAGGGTGGCTGGCGGCAGCGGGTGGGGGTGGGGTGGGGGGAGCCTGGGGAAGGCAGGGGTAAGAAGCCAGGAAAGTTCCCTGGCCAGTGGCACGGGGAGACTTGTTACACAGCAGTGTGAGCCGGCTGGCGCTCCTGTCACTGAGGACAGAGCACATGGCTCTGCTCCCGCAGGGTGACGCTAAGCCAGCCCCTCGGGGGCTGCAGAGACCCGAGTGCCGTGCCAGCTGCCGAGGCGGGTGAAGCCGAGGGGGTGAAGCTCTGGGCAGTCTATTGAGATCCTGCCCAAATCCCCTAGACGCCAGCCTTTAACCCGAGAGCCAAGGCCCAGGGGAGGAGGGGAGAGGGAGAGGCAGGAAATGACAAAACGGAGGTTTGGGCGCATGCCTTCCGTCCCCCTCCCCCCCAGCCTGCACCTCCTAAACTAAGGGTCCCCAGGAGGCAGCTGGCCCAGGTTTACCCCGAGCTGGTCACCAAGGCCCCTGGGCCTCCTGCTGCTGCTGTGCCGGAGCCTTCTGTGCCCTGTTCCCAGCTTTTGATTTCAGAGGAGGGGAAAGAGAAACATCAATGATGAGAATCATTGATCGGCTGCCTCCTGCACGCCCCCTGCTGGGCATGTGCTCCTGGCTGGACTGAATCTGGGCCCCTTTAGTCCGAAGGCCGACACTCATCCCTGAGCCAAACCGGCCAGGGCAATAAACACTTCACATCACCTGGACTCGGCCTCTCTGGTTTGCTCAGTGGATAGAGCATCCACCTGCAGGTTGAAGGGTCCTGAGTTCGATTCTGGTCAAGGGCACATGCTTGGATCACAGGCTTGATCCTTAGTGAGGGGGTGCAGGAAGCAGCCAACCAATGACTCACATCATGGATGTTTCTCTCTCTCCTGTAACACAGAAAAGACGATAAAGTTAAAATCGCCTGGTCTGGTCTTGTGAAACCTGCGTGAAGTCTAGAACCCGCACGCTCCCGCATGGCCGCCGCCCCCCCCCCCCCCCCCCCCGTGACGGAAACTGGCCCGGCGGTCAGCGAGTGGGGTGGTCTCGGGAGGGAGAAGAGGTGGGCTGGGCCCTGGCTTGGGGGCCTGGGGAGGAGCAGGGCCCCAGAAGGAAGTGCTGTGTGAGGTGCGGTGGGGACACAGCACAGATGCACCCAAGTCACTGCCCCAGAGCAGCCCACGTGGGGACATCGCACCGGCTTTTCCAGTTCTAACTGCTGCCCTGCGGTCAGGAAGCGCGCTGGTTCCTGCTCTGGGCTGGGCCACCTGCCGCCGAACCCGCCCGCCTCGCCCTTTGTCCTCACCGGGAGCCCGGCCGGTGCAGCGGGCATCCCAGCGGGCATCCCAGCTCGCAGGCCCCAGGACAGGGCTCAGCCCTGTGCCCGGGGCCTCACCGCAGGCTGAGCTGCGGGAAAGCTGGGGTCTGGCCGGGCCTGGGCTGGAGGACCTGGTCTCTGCTCCAGCACCCTCCCGCCTGCCTTCCTGCAGCCGGTCTGGGCCAGCCTGAGGCGGCCTCCAGGGTGCGGGCCACACATTTGGTGTCAGTGTTTCCGCTGTCGGCCCACGTGGCCACAGGCAGGGTTTCCTGGGAAGAATGCGAGGGACCCGCCCGCTCACAGGGCCTTGAGAGGTGCTTTCCTGGGTCACAGACACACAACTGGGAAACGGAGACGCCGTCACGGCCAGGAGGGCCTGGTGCCCTGAAGCAGCCGAGAGCCGGAGCGGGAGGCTCCCAGCCGGACACCCGTCCCAGCCTCAGGCGCCTCCCTGTGCTCGGAGGAGTGAGCCCCGCCTTGCCTGGCACCACTCAGGCATAAAACCCGGAAGAATGCCTTTTCTTTTTCTCCTAATCCTCACCTGAGGGTGTGTTTTTACTGATTTTAGAGAGAGGAAGGGGGCGTGAGAGAACATCCATCAATTGCCCCCCCCCCCCCCCGAATAATACATGCCCCGACCAGGAACAGAAGCCACGCCGTTTAGTGCGTGGGGCGATGCCCCGACCATAGAGCCACCTGCTAGGGCAGGACCGGAAGGGAAAGTCCTTTCCCGCGAAACTGCGATGCCGGTGTTGGGGGGCAGCACGTCTTCCGGGAGACCACAGGCCGGCAGCCTGGCGCCCTGCCCGGCGTGGGCCCTGTGTGAGCGGCCACGCTCGCTCGGCCGGGAGGGCGGGCGGTGGCGGCTCGGGAAGGGAAGGCGGCCCGGGGCCTGGGCAGCGGGGCCCGCACCCAGGGCGCCCCCTTTGCCCTGACCCGCGGCTGCAAGGGGGGGCGGGGCCCGCTGGGGCGGGGCCTGGCGCAAACACTAGCCTTCAAGGGGCGGGGCCAGGCCTGGAAGGGGCGGGCCCGTGGAGGAGCAGCCAATGCGGGGGGGTGGGCGGGGCCGGAGGCAGGGGCGGACGGGGACTGCGCTCCGCCGGCCGCTGTCCCGCCGGCCGCCCGGCCCCTCGTCCGCCCGGCCCGGCCCCTCCGGTCCGCCCGGCCCGGCCCCGGCCCCTCGTCCTCCCGCGTCGGGGGTCGGGCCCCTGGTCCCCGAGGCGCCGCCGGCCGCTGCCGCTCGGCATGGCGGCCATCCAGGCGCTGCAGCAGTGGTGCCGGCAGCAGTGCGAGGGCTACCGGGGCGTGAGCATCACCAACATGACCACGTCCTTCCGCGACGGCCTGGCCTTCTGCGCCATCCTGCACCGCCACCGGCCCGACCTGCTGTGAGTGCGGCCCGCCCCGGCCCCGGCCCCGGCCCCCGGCCCCCTGGCCCCGTCCCTGGCCCCCTGCCCAGTCCCCCTGCCCAGTCCCCGGCCCCGGCCCCCGGCCCCGGGCCCCGGTCCTGTCCCCCGGCCCGGCCCCCAGCCCCCGGCCCCCGGCCCCCGGCCCCGGCCCCGGCCCCTGGCCCCCGGCCTCTGGCCCCCGGCCCCATTCCCCGGCCCCCGGGCCCCCGGGCCCCGGCCCCATCCCCCAGCCCGCGCGGCGATGTGACTCAGGCCCGGCTCTCCGGCTGCCCGCCCTCCGCCCCCGCCTGGGGGCTGGGCCCCGGGCCCGTGTGTGGCCCCGCCCTCCCCAGGCCCAGGCTCCTAAGCAGCTGGGGCTCCGAGGGGGCGGGGCGCGCAGAGCAGGAGCCCGACCCCCTTGTCAGGCCCCTGCACCCGAGGGTGACAAGGGGCGAGGGGAGGCAGCCCCACTCCTGGGAGCCGGGGAGGTGGGCAGGGGAGGGGACGGGTCTTGACGTGAGGCTGGGGGCTGCCACGCGGGGTGCCAGCCTTGCCCCCTCCACGCCCCCTCTGTTCCGTTACTCACTGGCCCGGCTTGGCGGCAGCTCTGAGCTCTCCCTCTGCAAAGCGGCTCTGGAGCCGGGAAGGCCTCCTGTGGGGGCCCCGCGTTCCACACGTCTCCTGCGAAGTCCAGGCTGGAGGGGAGGGCGGGGAGGGGGGAGCGCATGTGCAGGGAGAGGGAGGCACCCTCGCGGGCTTGCACTGCAGACGGGGAGACTGAGGCCTGAGGGGAGAGGCCTGTGCAGGGCTGCCGCTGGGGCCCCTCCCTGCGCCCCGATGCCCCCTGTGCCCCCGACGGTCCTGAGCGCCTGCCTCTGTGGAAGTCCCCACGGAACCCCTCTGCTCCGAGGGCCTCCGTGGGGCCTCCTGGGAGGCCCGTGTGGCCGGGGCGGCCGCTGCTCCCCGCCCAGCGAGTGCTGTCACCCCGGGAGGCAGACGCTGAGCCCCGGGAGCTGAGCTCGGCCGGGTGGGCGGGGACCGGAGAGGGCGCGGAGGGAGAGAGGTGGGCAGGCAGGTCCTGACAGGCTGGCTGGGGTCCGAGCCACCCAGGCCCCAGGCCCGCAGGAGGGGCTGCGCTCGGAGGGGGAGTGGAGCCGTGGTCTGGGGGCTCCGCAGCCTCAGCCGCCACACGGGTGTGCCTGAGGCTTGGGCTCTTTCTGGGTCCGGGAGCTTCCCAGCAGAGCGTGTGTGCGTGTGTGTGCATGTGTGTCTGTGTGTGCGTGTGTGTGTGTGTGTGTGTCATAAAGGGCTGTGTGTGTGCGTGTGCGTGTCATAGAGGGCTGTGTGTGTGCGTGTGCGTGTGCATGAGCCTGTCCCAACAGGCACTGCTGCCTGCGGGTGAACAGGGGCTCGCACACCTGGGCATGGACCAGAGCTGGCCCGGGCCGGGCCCCTGGCCGCTGCCTGGCCGCCGTGTGCCTGCCGCGCTCAGCACTGTGTCCGTGTCCGTGTCCGTGTCCGTGCCCGTGTCCGTGTCCATGCAGGCGGCCGTGGCCCTGCCTCGGGGAGAGGGCTTCAGTCGCGGATGGGGAGCCGAGTGGATGAAAGCTCCAGGCAGCTCCCTCCGGGGTGGGGGTTGGGGGCGGCGCCCTGCGGCCTCGGCCATGACCTGCTGGCTGCTGACTTGGCTGCGGTCCGTCTGTCACTGGACTTTTGGCTCAGAAGGTGGGGCGTCTGTTTGCTTTCACCGCTGTCCCCAGCCTGGCGCCCGGCCTGGGACAGGTGCTCAGTGGAATCTGCACAGCTGGAGGCCGAGAGATAAGGGCTTGCACTTGGGGCTCCGCAGATAGGGTAGGAGTTCGGGGCCGTGCAGGTGCGAGTGCGGAGGGCGAGGGGGCCCTGTGACCACGGAGGTGGGTGTTGGAGCCCCCAGGAGCCGAGGGATAAGGAGCAGCATCGGCGCCAGCCCCCTCGGGCACACAGGCGGGCACACCGGGCTGTGGGGATGGGTGCTGCCCGTGTGGTCAGTGGTTACGGCAGGACCAGGAGGTAGTGCAGGTTTGCGCCTGGTGGCTGTGGCTCCATAGGTGCTGAGCAGCTGTGTGTGTGTGTGCGTGTGCAGGCGTGTGGGCACACGTGTCCCATGCCAGAGCCCTTTGTTGTGCCGTGTCTGTGCCTTGAACACCCACCTCCACTCTGACCCCTCAGGGCCTCTGGCCAGGTGGCGCTGGGAGGGTGTCTCCCCAGAGCAGTGGGCTGCGCGCCGGCCCCAGAGGTGCTGGGAGCGGAGGGCAGGGGGCCCGGGGAGAGGCCGCTGTGCCTGCCCGTCCGGTGAGACCCTGGGCAGCGGAGGGGACATCCTGTCTCCGGCCCCTTTGTTCTGTCCGGTCCTTCCTGCTGCACCGAGCCGCTTCCTCTGGGCTCAGCGGAAGGAGAGCCGTGCGGAGCCGCAGGCGGGGCCGGCCAGGTGGGGACACGCCCGGCGCTCCGCTGCCTCTGCTGGTGCTGCCGGGCCGGTGCTCACGTGCAGCAGGAGGCCATGCGGGGTCCGGGGGTCGTGGGTGAACCTGCGTGGGGGGACGGCTCCTCGGGGGCCGGGGCCTGCAGGTCTGTCTCCCGTGAGGCCCAGTGAGCAGCCAGCTGAGCCGGGGCCGCCCAGCACGGCAGCCCAGGCATACGCCTGGGACCGGGGTTCCCTGGAGGGGGCCGGCAGAGCCCCCAGCGCGGCAGCCCAGGGCTGCTGAGGAGGGCCATCTGCAGCAGCTGTGGACGGACAGAAAACCGAGTGGGTGTCAGGTGTGGCTGCAGGTCGCCGAGCCTCCGTATCCCCGCCGGGTGGTGACCTGGTCCGTCCCCCTGAAGGGGTCAGGGCCAGGGCCAGGCGGCGGCTCCGTGGCCACGGCTCTCGACACGCCTGTGGTTGGGTCAGGAGACTCCCAGGGCCCCCTGGGAGCTGAGGCAGCACTGACCCTCCTGCATGAGGTCAGCAGGAAGTGGCCTGGGGACAGAGGCCCTCTGTCTTCGCTGAGGGCCTGCTGCCCAGCCTTCTGGCCTGAATCTGCAGGGTGGACAGGCCCTCTCCTTGGGGGCGACCCAGGGTCCATCGCCCCCCGAGATCCCCTCCCGGGCTGGCCCTCTGGGCTGGGGCAGGGATAGGGCTGGTGCCGGCCTGCGGAGGCCTGAGCTGGGCAGCTGCTGAGGCCCCTCACTTGCCCACCGGGTACAGGAAGGGGGCCTCGTGCACCTCGTCCCCCCGGCCCCCCTCTCCCCATGTCCGTCCCAGGGCGCCTGCCTGGGGTCACTTCCCCGGAGCCCTGTCTCCACCTCTCTCTGCTGAGTCCCCACCTCCAGCTTTCTCTCCGTCCCTCTGCCCCTCCTCCTGCTCCCTTCACGCCAGGATTGACTCCAGATGGGCTCGGAGTGCCTGGAGAAGGCTCCGGAATGGCTTTCCCTTCTGTCTGCCCCCCTCGGCCCCAGCGCGCCCCCCCGCCCCCCCGGGCTGCATGTTGTTCCAGGAAATAAACAGCGTGAGGTCAGCTCGCCAGGAATTCAGAGGGACACAAGCCCGAGCCCCCAGGCGCTGGGCCAGGAGGCGGCCCTCAGGGCCTGCAGTCCCGGGTGGTCAGGCAGGCGGCCGGCTGTGGCCATGGGAGGCAGGCAGAGGCACGGCTGGGCCATTGCCAGAGGCCATGGGACCCGGGGGCTGTGGTGGTTCCTCCTGGTCACTCATCGGTGTTGACAGCGTAAGTGGTCCGGTCGGCTCAGTGGTTGAGCTTCGACCTATGAACTAGGAGGTCACGGTTCGATTCCCGGTCAGGCACAGGCCCAGGTTGTGGGCTCCATCCCCAGTGGGGGGCGTGCAGGAGGCAGCATCAATCCATGACGGGTCGCTCTCATCGTGGGTGTTTCTATCCTTCTCCCTCTCTTTCCTCTGAAATGAATAAAAGTACATTTTTGAAAAAGAAAGAGCGAGTGAAGGCCAACAGAACGCTCCCCCGCAAGCATGTATGGAGCGCTGGCTGTATGCCCGGCGTCTCCGAGGACCAGAACCTCGGGCCCGGCCGGCCGGACACGCCCGCGGCCGGCGCCGCAGCAGCAGCGATGGGCGGCCGGTGTCGGCCGGGCCTCCTGGGGCCGTCCTGGCTGCCGGCCGCTCTCCCTGCGCCTCCGTCCCAGTTCCCTCTCGGTGAGGACATGGCCCCTTGGGACGGCCACCCGGTGACCAGGATCGGACGCTCTCTGTGAAGACCCTCCCGAATCTGCAGGGTGGACAGGCCCCCTCCTTGGGGGCGGCCGGGGGCACCTCGGAGGCCTGACCGGGCAGGTCTGCGCGGGCGGTGCCAGGGGCGGGGGGAGGACCGGGCTTTCAAAGGGGTGGGTGTGGGCGGCGGGACTCCGAGCCAGACACTGCGGATGGACGGTGGGGAGCCCGGGGGTAGGGACCCCGCTCCGCGGCCGTGGGTGGACGGCGGGAGCGGCTGGGCTGCCACGCCTCCGCCGCCCGCCCGGCGTCTGCCCACCGCACACCTGCCGGCCGCGCACAAAGCGCCTGTGTGCCGGGAGGCCCGGCATCTGGAACGCGTTGCCTTGGGCGGTCGGCGGAGGGGGTTCTGGGAGAGCCGGGCCCTGATGGACGGCAGGCCCTGCGGGAGGGGGCAGGCAGCCCCGAGGCCGGTCACCGTGGCCCTGGGAGCGGGGCTCACCCTGCAGTCTGACCCACGCTCTCTCCGGCTCTCCCGGCTGGAAGCTTCCAGAACAATCAGGTCGCACCGAAGCTTTGGGGTGCCGTTCGCGCCCACAGACAGCCCCCGGACAGACGGACAGACGGACAGGCCTGTGTGACTGCCTCCCGGAGCCGCCGGCTGGGCTGGCTGTGCTGTCTGCTCAGGGCATCCTCCCGGGGGCGCCCGGGGCTGTGGTGCCCACGCTGGGCGTGTGCGGGGCTCCGGGCAGCCTGGCGACGGGGCCCGTGTGCGTGGGGGTGGGCTCCTGTCCTCAGCCGCCCGGACTCGGTCTGTTCGGGGGGGTGTGGGGGAGACTGGGCACCTGGTGGGCGCCTCGTACCGCACCCAGCGGCCGTGTGGCTCCGTGGCTGAGCATCGACCGAGGAACCAGGAGGCTGTGGTCTGACTCCCGTGGGCACAGGCCGGACTGGGGCGCCATCCCGGGTGGGGCGTGCAGGAGGCAGCTGATCACAGATGTCTGTCTCCCCTCCTCTCCGAGATCAGTGGAAACCTGTATTTTAAAAACCATGCCCCCGGTCGAGCCTTAGCTGCTCTGGGTGCCAGGCATGGCCTGGCTTCAGTCTTCTCTGCTGTGTGACTCGGGCAGGTCACCGAGCCTCTCTGTGCCCGTTCCCTCACGGAGAGAGGGCATTGCAGCCTGTGGGGTGACACCACGGGGTGGGTGTTAGGGGAGGTGCCTGGGGATCGAGGTGGCGTGGCCGTCTGTCCCTCATGGAATGTCTGTCCTGCCCTGCAGCCCCATGCCCACTGAGTTCCCCTTCAGGACATGCCAGGCCCCGGAGCGGCCAGCAGGGCCCAGGGCCCCGGAGCGGCCGGCCCTGCCCTCCTGAGGCCCTGGCGGCCACGTTCCTCCGGCCTCGGTTTCCCCTTCGGGGAGGCTGGCCTCCCAGGCCTCCCAGCCCTGCTTCCCGGCCTGAGCTGCTCTGCATTTTTACCTTCCAGAAACTTCGACAGTCTCAGGAAGGAGAACGTCTATGAGAACAACCAGCTGGTGAGTCCCGCCCTGCCCGCCTCGCGGTCCCGGGCTGTGGAAGGGGCGTCCTCGTCCACCTGGCGGCTGTGCCCGGCCTGTGACCCTGCTCCCCGCTCCCCCTCCGGGAGGATGGGGTGCTGGACCCCCCTTCTCCTAGGCAGCGCCAGGGTCCTGGGTGGGCCGTCCCCCGCCCGGCCTAGCCTCTCAGCCAGGGTCCCGGACCCATTGCTCCTGAGCCTTCCCGGCCCAGTCCGCCCGTCTCATTGCTGCAGAGGGCAGAGCCCCCCTCGCCCTCTGACATCGGAGCCCCCGGCTGGCCCCGAGCGCCTTCCGTCCTGCGTGGTCGGGGCACGATCCCCACTACGCAGACGGGTAAACCGAGGCCCAGGGAGGACTCAGGCCGAGCTGGAACCTTGGGGGCTCCCAGTGGGGTTCTTGCTCCTGGCACCGGGGTGAGCTGGTGGCCAGGCGGCTCCCTGCTGACCGTCCCTCCCCAGGCCTTCCGCGTGGCCGAGGAGCAGCTGGGGATCCCAGCCCTGCTGGAGGCCGAGGACATGGTGGCTCTGAAGGTGCCCGACCGGCTGAGCATCCTGACCTACGTGTCGCAGTATTACAACTACTTCCATGGACGCTCGCCCAGTGAGTGCCCCCGCCCTGGCGGCCCCCTCTGCCCAGTGCCCCCGCCCTGGCGGCCCCCTCTGCCCAGTGCCCCCGCCCTGGCGGCCCCCCTCTGCCCAATGCCCCCGCCCTGGCGGCCCCCCTCTGCCCAGTGCCCCCGCCCTGGAGGCCCCCCTCTGCCCAGTGCCCCCGCCCTGGCGGTCCCCTCTGCCCAGTGCCCCCGCCCTGGAGGCCCCCTCTGCCCAGTGCCCCCGCCCTGGCACCCCCTCCTCTGCCCAGTGCCCCCGCCCTGGCGGCCCCCTCTGCCCAGTGCCCCCACCCTGGAGGCCCCCTCTGCCCAGTGCCCCCGCCCTGGCGGCCCCCTCTGCCCAGTGCCCCCGCCCTGGAGGCCCCCCTCTGCACAGTGCCCCCGCCCTGGCGGTCCCCTCTGCCCAGTGCCCCCGCCCTGGAGGCCCCCTCTGCCCAGTGCCCCCGCCCTGGCACCCCCTCCTCTGCCCAGTGCCCCCGCCCTGGCGGCCCCCTCTGCCCAGTGCCCCCACCCTGGAGGCCCCCTCTGCCCAGTGCCCCCGCCCTGGCGGCCCCCTCTGCCCAGTGCCCCCGCCCTGGAGGCCCCCTCTGCCCAGTGCCCCCGCCCTGGCGGCCCCCTCTGCCCAGTGCCCCCGCCCTGGCGGCCCCCTCTGCCCAGTGCCCCCGCCCTGGCGGCCCCCTCTGCCCAGTGCCCCCGCCCTGGCGGCCCCCTCTGCCCAGGGCGTGGCCCGGACTCACCCTCCCCGCACCCGCTCAGAGCAGGCTCCTTCAGGCCCAGCTCCGATGCCCCCGTTTGGTCCTGACATTGTGTCCCAGGCTTTGTGTGTGCACTCCCCCCACATTCCTCGGGCTCCGGGCCAGCCCGCCTCCCGCCTCCCCTCCCCACCCTACTTTGTGCAGAAACAGAAAAGTCCCTTCCTGCCCCAGCAGGGTCAGGCGGAGGGGAGTCCGCCCCGCGGTGGTGCTGGCTGTGGCCCCGCCCCGGGCGCCGGGCACCCACACCTCCCAGGGCCCAGGCAGGGCCCAGGCCCTGCGAGCCCTGACCGTGCGTCTCCCGCCAGTTGGGGGCTTGGCTGGCGTGAAGAGGCCCCTGTCCGAGGCCCAGGAGGAGCCGTCGGGGAAGCGGGCCTCGCCCACGCCCGTCCGGGGGCCGCTGTCCCCCGTCAGCACCAACGTCCAGCGGAAGGACCAGGGCGCGGAGGGCCCCCCGCTGAAGGCTGTAAGGGTCCGGGGCTGGAAGGTGGGAGGGCTCAGTGTACCCTGGAACCCGGGGTCGGGGGCCGGGGGTCCCTTGGGGTCCACTCAGGTCCCAGCCCAGCCTCAGCACATTTACCGGGAGCCCAGGGACTGGCTCCCGAGTTCCTGCCTCCTGTGTGGTCGGGATAGGGTCTCCATTGTGCAGACGGGTAAACTGAGGCCAGGGAGGCCCACAGGCTGAGCTGAGCTTGAACCTTGAACCCAGACGTAACCGGCCGCTCCCTCTCCGTGGGTCCAGGAGGGAAAGTGGGTGCATCCTCCCTCCAGGTCCGGCCCAGCCAGGGAGCTGTGCCCCCTTTTCAGAGGTGGAGCCTGGAAGGGGCCATACCGTGTGCTCGGGCGCCCCCTGCTGTCCCCCGGCCGCCACACCGGCTCCCGGGGCTGGGCCCGGACATTCGGAGCGGGTTGCATTTCTGTGCCTTGGGGTGGGAACTTTGAACCCCAAAACCAAGCTTCCAGCTGCATCCCCTTGGCCAGGCTGGAGGCCCTGAGCTTGGCGTCCAGCGGCCTGGGTCCAGCCCGGCCGCTGCTCTGAGGCCTCAGCTCCGCCCCCCCCCCCCCCAACCCAGGGCCAGGGCGGCGCGGGGAGCAGCTCCTGCGGGGTGTGCGGCCAGCACGTGCACCTGGTGCAGCGACACCTGGCAGACGGGAGGCTGTACCACCGCAGCTGCTTCAGGTGGGGCTGTGGGGGGGCTGTGCAGGGGGTGGGGGGCTGTGTGGGGGGCTGTGCAGGGGAGTGGGGGGCTGTGCAGGGGGTGGGGGCTGTGTGGGGGGCTGTGCAGGGGGGTGGGGTGTGAGGGGTGGGGACTGTGGGGGGCTGTGCAGGGGAGTGGGGGGCTGTGGGGGGAGTGGGGGCTGTGCAGGGGGTGGGGGGCTGTGCAGGGGGGTGGGGTGTGAGGGGTGGGGACTGTGGGGGGTGGGGGGCTGTGCGTGTGTGTGGGGGTGCGGGCCTGGGCCCCTCACGGCCCCGGTGGAGCGGACCCGGGAGCGGGAGGAGGCCTGTGGGACGGGCTCCAGGTAACGGGCGCCCCCTCCGCCCAGGTGCACGCGGTGCTCCGGCACCCTGCGGCCCGGCGCCTACCTGCCCACGGCCCAGCCCGGCGTCTTCGTCTGCTCCAGCCGCTGCCCCGCAGCCGCCCCCGCGGGGCCCCGGCCGCCCAGCGCCCCCCAGACGGCCCGGGGGGCCGGGCCCGCAGCCCCGGGGCCTGTGGTGGGCGGCGTGGTGGCCAAAGGCTCCCCGCGGGGCACGCCCTCCCCCCAGGCCCCCGCGGGGAGCCCGGCCGGGCCCAGGCCCTCGGGGGGCCCCGTGGGCGGCGGAGCCCTGACGCCCGTGACCAACAGCTCCCCGGCGGGGTGGTCCCCGGCCCAGGGCCCGGCGGCCGGCAGCCCCCGTCCCGCTGCGGCCCCCAGAGCCCCGGGCCCGCTCCCGGCCACACAGCCGGCCCGGGCAGCCTCCCCGGCCCCGGGCAGCGCGGGAGCCCCGGCCTGGACCCCCGCGGCCTCCCGGACGCAGCAGGCCCGCGAGAGGTTCCTGCTGGCGCCCGGGGCCCCCAGCCCGGGGCCGGCCGGCAGGGCCCCTGCCGCAGCCCACACGCCCTCTGAGGCCAGCCGCAGGGAGCAAGCGCGGAGCTGTCTCCGGAAGGCCCTGCCCGGGCCCCGCGGGGCACAGGAGCCAGGCAGGTGCGTGGGGGAGGAGGACGGGGTGCCCGTCTGCCCAGGGGGATCCCGGAGGCCGGAGGGGTGGGATGGCTGGGGTTCTGGGCCACTGGCCATGTGGTGGTGAGGCCGCACCCTCCAGCCTCGGCTTCCTCCTCTGGGAAACGGGAGGATGAGACGGAGCCAGAGTGCTCGGTGGGCGGTGGGAGGGGCCACGGCTACCATCTGAGCTGCCGTCCACATGCCCTTGGGGGGCGGGTACAGCGGCTCTGCCACGGGGCCCCCAGGGGGCTCGGTCCTGCTGGGGACCCTGTTTGACCCGGGCATCACCTATCAGCCGCATGCCCCTGCCCCTGCCCCCGCACACACGGAGCAGGTGCCACCACGGGGGGTGGTCGTGCCACTGTCCTGGGCTGACCCGCCTCGGCTGCTGTGCGGCAGCACTGGGCGGGGAGGGGGGGAGATCGGCTCTTGGGGAGGGTCCTTCCTGCTCTTCCAGCTTCCGGTGCCCGGGCACCTCCTCCCTGTGCCTGTCTTCACGTCTGTCCTGTGTCTGTCTGCTCTTCTGTCTCGTAAGGACGAGCCATGGACTTAGGGCACCCTAATGCAGGATGGCCTCACCCTCAGATTCACTGGCACAGCCTGTCCATGCCGGTGGACGGGGATTGTGGGGGACACCACTCAGCTCACTCCTCACCTAGCGAGTAAGGAGATGCGGCGCCTGGCTGGCATGCGCCACTGCCTCGTGCTGCCTCTGCCAGCGCGGCCCTTGGCTCCCGGGCGGCTCGGGACCAGGAGGGCAGCCAGGAGGCCCGGGCGGGCCACCGCTCTGTGCAGGTGGGGGGACGGGGGAACAGGGTGCTGTGCTCCTCGCACCCCCATACAAGATGTGTGTGTTTGGGGGTATTTTGAACTCATCGCACACCAGCCTTAAGCAGGAGAGTAAGGTCAGACAGTGCCCAGGAGGGTGGGCATTGGAACCAGCCACTGAGGGGAGACTGAGGGGCTTCTGCTGGCATCATGGGAGGGATTCCTGGATCCACCTGTGCCTGATACCCGCTCTCGCACCCACAGGCCTGCCCCAGCCACTGCCTCTGCTTCCAACGGCCTTCCCAGAGGTGAAGGGCCACAAGCAGGTCCATCGGCCAAGCTGCCACAGCCGGTGTCTCCCCCAGCCCTCAGCCCCCCTGCAAAGACGGAGCCAGCAGCCCCCCTGAGTGTGGGCACCACCACACGGGCATCCACGTCGCCCAAGGTGGGCAGGGTGAGCTCAGCGGCGCCCTCAGGGGGCAGCCGGGCAGCTGCTGACTCCAGGCTGAAGCCAGAGACCCCGCTGGCGAAGGGTGAGAGCCCACAGTGAGGGCACGGGGGTGGGGGTGGTCCCCGCACGGACAGTCAGCAGCCGCGGGCTTGCTGGATGCACTTACCTGTGCGCAGTTGGGCAGGGGAGGCCCCGAGAGGCTCTCAGCCTGGAGGCCGGGCTACAGGCCTGTGCCCGCCTCCCAGCAATGCTCCTTCCTGGGCCCTGGCAGGGGTGCCTGTGGCCCAGCCTTTTCCAGTCTCTCCCAGATCCCCCCAATATGGCTCCCCCCCCCCCAACAGGCCCAAGTGCCGGCTCCCAGAAGGACCAGGTGGATGGGCCGGCAGAGTGGAGGAGCCACCTGAGGCCCGTGGCGAAGAAGCACCCAGCTGAGAGGTGAGGGGCGAGTGGGCGGGCTGGGGCTCCTGGGCCTGGACCTGCCGCTGTGCCTGAGGTTTGTGCTCACGGGGCCCGAGCAGGAGCCCGGGGCCTGGCACATAGGAGGTGCTCAACAAATGCTCCCAGGGAAACACACCCAGCATTGCATCTGGGCAGCCAAAGCTAGCTCTGTCCGAAGGATGGGACATTTCACACCAGCCCGAGGGGTCACAGCAGCCTGTCCCTGAGTGACAGGGGACAGTTCACACTGGCTCACACCCGCCTGAGTGACAGGGGACAGTTCACACTGGCTCACACCCGCCTGCGTGACGTGGGGCTGTGTTCCCATTGGGAAACAGAAGGCAGGAAGGCAGGCGGCTGATGGGTCCATCATAGGGCCTGGAATCCTCACCTGTGTGAACCGGCCTCAGTGGCCGAGGGACAAGAACACTCAGTGGGCCTGACCCCGAGCCCGGGCCACCTGTGGGGGAATCAGGGCGGAGGGTGGGGTGCATAGACACACCTGTGCTCTGGGAGGGTCCCAGGAGGCAGGGGTGTGGGCCTTGGAGCCCTCACACCACACGCAGCCGTCCTCTGCGGTGTGAGTGCCTCAGGCGTGTTTGGGTGCGGGGCACCGCCCTTTCTCTGCTGACCTCCTGTCCTCTGCCCAGGGCCCCGGAGCCGATGGAGCCACGGGGCCCAGGGAAGCCGAGGGCGGGGGCTGAGCCCCAGAAGGCCCCTGGGAGCTCCGAGGGGGGCGTCTGCATCACCCTGACCCCCGTGCGGCCCGACAGGACTCCAGGCCCTGCTGGCCTCCAGCCCAGCCACTCCGGTAATTCCCGGCAGGAAACCAGGGTCCCAGTGACCTCCCCGCCCAGCCAGGGGACAGGGCCTAGGGGTCGCTTCTGGGGGCAGCGTCCAGGTCTGGGGCTGTGGGTTGTGCTCCGGGGAGGGGAGAGGGAGAGGGGTCCTGGTGGGCAGTGTGTGTGTGCACATGGTGTGTGCACGGGTGAGCACGTGTGTGCCTGTACATGTGCACGTGTGAGTTCACACCCTCTTCCTGTGTGGCCTTGAGCGGCCACTGGCCCAGAGCTGTGTGAGGATTCTGCCCATGCTGCTGCTGTGGCTGCCAGCTGCGCCCGCACCGAGAGCCATGGGGCCGGGCTGGGAGCCGGGGGGCCAGGCTGGGAGCCGTGGGCCTGGCAATGGGAGCCGTGGGGCCGGGCTGGGAGCCGTGGGCCGGGCTGGGAGCCGTGGGCCAGGCTGGGAGCCATGGGCCTGGGGTGGCCCCGCTCGGGGAGGGGATGGCCTGCTGGCCCCATGTCAGGTCTGTCTCGTCCACAGCAGCCGCCTCCCCAGCAGCGCCCTCCCCGTCCGGCCGCAGGAAGCTGGTGGTGCCCCCCAGCCTGGACCTTTCTGACAGCTGGCTTCAGCCCAGGCCCCCGCGGCAGGAGGCCCCGGTCCAGGGCCCGAAGGACAAGCCTGGTCAGCCGGGCGGGCCGTTCCTGCGGGGGCGCGGGCGAAGGGGGACTTAAGGGTGACGGGAGCCCTCTGGCTGAGAGGAGGGAGGCACGTGGGGCCGGAGGTTGCAGGAGGCCGAGCCATGCGGTCCCGGTGGGACGGTTGGGGCGGGGAGGGGGGCTGGACAGTACCTGAGTCACAACCCCTGGAGGGTGGTCCTGGTGGTGCTGAGGGCGCCGCCCTGCAGGAGGCGGGGCCTGTCTCTGTCTCTGGGCTCTGCCCAGGGGCCTGCTGGGTGGACAGGGAAGCTGGGAGGGATAGAGCTGGGTGAGTTGTTGGGGTCAGACCCGGGCCCAGCACACTCACCCTGTCCTCCTCCCCTTCTCCAGGGAGGCCCTTGGGCCCAGCCGACACCCCCGCCTCCCCTGGCAAGGCGGTGACCTCCCCGGTCAGGGTGAGTAGGCCGTGCGGGCGTGGCCAGGAGCTCAGCCTGGACCGGGCGGCCCTCACACCCCTTCCTCCACAGCTGCACCCCGACTACCTGCCCCCCGAGGAGATCCAGAGGCAGGCCCAGCAGATCCAGCGGCAGCTGGACGCACTGGAGCTCAGGGGCGTGGACCTGGAGAGGCGCCTGCGGGCGGCCGAGGGGGGTGAGCGGCCTCTCCCCACCGCCCTGCCCTCCCCGCCGGCCCAAAGCCAGCCTGTGGGCCCCCAGCCCGGGGCCGCCTCAGGGCCCTGCCCCCCCTCCCCGTGCCAGCCCCCCCTCCCCGTGCCAGCCCGTCTCCTCCGCAGACGCCTCTGAGGACGCACTCATGGTGGACTGGTTCCGGCTCATCCACGAGAAGCAGCTGCTGCTGCGGCTGGAGTCAGAGCTGATGTACAAGTGAGGGCCCAGCCCCCCGGGCCTCCTCCCCTCCCCCTCCTGCCCTCCTCCCCCCTCCCCTCCCCACCCCCTTCCCCTCCCTCCCCCTCCCGCTTCCTTCCCCTCCCCCTCCCCTCCCCACCCCCTTCCCCTCCCTCCCCTTCCCCCTCCTCCCCTCTCCCCCCTCTTCTTCCCCTCCAACCTCCCCCTCCCCTTCCCTTCCCTCCTCCCCCTCCCCTTCCCTTTCCCCTCCCCTCTCCCTCCTCTCCTCCTCCTCCCCCCTCCAACCACCCCTCCCCCTCCTCTCCCCTTCCTTCCCCTCCCCCTCCCCCTCCCCCTCCTCCCCCCTCCCCCCTCCCCCTCCACCATTCTCCCCCTCCGCCCTCCCCCCCCTCGCTGTCGCACCTCACACTGTCCCCCGCAGGGCCAAGGACCAGAGCCTGGAGGAGAAGCAGCTGGACATCTTGGAGGAGCTGCGCCAGCTGATGGCCCGACCGGGTGCGTCCCCCTCCCCCGGACGCCCTGCACTGCGCTGTGGGGGAGCGCTGTGGGGAGGGTGTGTGTGCTGCTGGGAGTTATGGGTCCTGTGGCCGAATGGCTTGGTTCCCACTGTTTCCACATCCCTGCCCACTCCTCTCCCTCTGTCCTCCTCTTCCTCCTCTGTCCACACTGGGCGTCCTGCGAGGAGGGTGAGGCGGCCACGCGGTCCTTCCCTCTCCCCGCCATCCGTGCTCCTGAACTCAGCGCGCACAGCCTCTGCCCCAGGGGCCGGGGCCGCCCCTCCCGCAGGGGGCGCTGCTCTGAGGGGGGTGCTCCGCTGACCGGCTGCCCCTCCAGAAGGTCTGAAGTCGCCCCGGGACCGGCAGCGGGAGCAGGACCTGCTGACCCAGTACGTGAGCACCGTCAACGACCGCAGCGACATCGTCGACTTCCTGGACGAGGACCGGCTCAGGTGCGGGGGGCGGGGGCCGGGGGAGGGGCCCCGGGGGAGAGGGGGCCGAGTGCGGGGGACCTGAGTGGGGGGGGGGGCCCGGGGGAGGGGGTCTGCAGCCAGAGCGGCTCTAGCTCGGGAGTGAGGGTGACTGGGGGGACGTTTGCATTTCAGAGAGCAGGAGGAGGACGAGGTGCTGGAGACCATGATCCAGAGGCTGGGTAACCGGGTCTGCACGGGGGAGGGGCCTGAGGGGAGGAGCCTGAGGGGAGGAGTCTGAGGGGAGGAGTCTGAGGGGAGGGGTCTGAGGGCAGGGGCCTGAGGGGAGGGGCCTGAGGGCAGGGGTCTGAGGGGAGGGGTCTGAGGGGAGGGGTCTGAGGGCAGGGGCCTGAGGGGAGGGGCCTGGAGGGACCCTGAGGGAGGGGCGTGAGGGGAGGGGTCTGAGGGGAGGGGCCTGAGGGGAGGGGCCTGAGGGGAGGGGTCTGGGAGGAGGGATCTGAGGGGGAGGGGCCTGAGGGGACGGGTCTGAGGGGAGGGGCCTGAGGGGAGGGCCCTGAGGGGAGGGCCCTGAGGGAGGGGTCTGAGAGGAGGGCCCTGAGGGAGGGGCCTGAGGGGAGGGCCCTGAGGGGAGGGGCCTGAGGGGAGGGGCCTGAGGGGAGGGCCCTGAGGGAGGGCCCTGAGGGGAGGGCC